TCGTTTTTGTAACAGATTCTGCTTCTGTGTCATCGTCACTTTCAAACTTGGCGCGACCCTCTTGCAGCAGCCGAGGGTGGACGGCGTCATTGTCGCTCTCCTCCCGGAAACTGCAGTTCTTTTCAGCAGCGTCTTTATAAGTTGCAGCGTTATCAAAGTTAACGCTGGTCTCCTGGGCACCACTTGTCTTTTGTTGAGCATTCTCTGAAATACGCTCACAAGCTTCTACCTTTACTTCGCTCGACTTCTCCAACTGATTTTGTGTCTTAATTTGCACTGGAATTGCGTGTTCCTTTGTTTGGTCCACCTGGAAGGAAGGAAATAACATTAGCCAGGGCCGGATTACCCAATAGTTCAAGTAGGTCATGGCCTTAGGCCTACCAGCACCAAGGGGCTCACCAGCACCATGGAGGCCCACCAGCACCATGGAGGCCCACCAGCACCATGGAGGCCCACCAGCACCAGGGAACAAACAAGCACCAGGGAGGCCCAGAAACCCCAGGGGGGGGGGGGCACCAGTTCCAGTGGGGCCCACCAGCAATAGGGGGGCCCACCAGCAACAGGGGGGGCCCACCAGCAACAGGGGGGCCCACCAGCAACAGGGGGGGCCCACCAGCAACAGGGGGCCCACCAGCAACAGGCGGCCCACCAGCAACAGGGGGGGAGCCCACCAGCACCAAGAGGCCCACCAGCACCAAGGGGCCCTCCAGTAACAGGGGGGGGGGGGTGCATAGCACATTTTAGTTGATCATAAGAATAAACAAAAATACAAAAATTCCTCGGAGTAATCAACAACTTGGTAACACTGCCTAAATACTGTTTTCATGTAAATCATAACGTATCATAACGTAAGAGCTGTCATGTGTGTTTAGCCACACTGACCAGAGAGTGGGGGCCAATTTATGTGTTCTGGCCAAGGGCCCAAAAAACAGGTAGATCTGGCACTGATATCAGCAAAAATAAGAGCATGTAAAGAATCATTTATTTATATTATTGTGAGTAATTGAAGATTATTGTGAGTAATTGAAGATTCATGTGACTAATGAAGGCTTAAGACATGTAAAGTGAACCAAGTCAAAGTGCCTTCCTTACCGACGACTCTCTGGCAACTGATGAGGAAGAGATGCTTATAAATGAATCAGAGGACTCATCAGTGTGTGCTTTGGCTTCGGTTGACTGCTGTGTGTTGGCCTGGGTGTTCACTCTCACCTCTTGCTCTCTAGACTCCCTGACGCTCTCTGCCAGCTCTTTAACTGCCGCAGCCTCAGCACTTTCCTTCATGCTGAGCTTTGAGTGCTGAAAATTCATATAAAATAATTACAATTTTATCATGATATACTCTTTGCTATATACAGTAACATATTATAATAACAATTGTGTTTATGTATCACGATGATACTTAAAACCCAAAGATACTCACTTTCTTTGGCGCGATGATGGTCAGCACTCCGTCTGAGGACATCACAGAAGACACAGATTCAAGCGCAACATCGCCTGGAAGAACGAAACGTCGTCTGAAGTGTTTAAAAACCCTGGCGCCTCCAGCCTCCGCCTCAACGTGGCCCTCCACCACGAGGTCTCGTTCGTCTACAACCCTCACCGTGATGTCTCCACCCTTCAGGAAGTCTTGTACATCCAAAATAAACTGAAAGAAAACACAAGGACATACATTAATTATTCATGGTCTTTTTACTTGTTTTTATTGTCACATTTTAGGGTTTAAATATATACTAAATTATTATTATTAAATAATAATTATAATTATTTTTTTCTTGAGGACAAAGGTTAGGAAGGTAATGAGGGAGAGAAAATTTGTCGGCAATTAGTCCTGAACGAGTATGACTTTTACAACCAAACATTACTGGACAAGTCTCTGTTATTATCTCTCGTTTGCTTCTCTGTGACGTTTAACGGAAGCTCACCTTATAGTTGGAGTCATCCTCTGAAGCCTTGACAGCTTGGTTCTCCTCCCTCAAGTCACGAGTTCGTAGTTTTCTGTAGCAGGTCATGTCGTCACAGGTGGAACTGTCTCCCCACTTAACCACCACGTCCTTCACGGCGTCCTGGTAGTCCTTCCATGTGTCTTCGAAGAAACAGTCGTTGAAGAAGAGTCCTCTAGTCTTGATAGGGATAGCGACACCCCTCTTCGAGTCATTGATAGACTCTCGTTCTTCAGATATCTTAGAAGAAACGCTTGTCTGTGACGAGACATGTGAAGCCGTAGTCACCTCGTCGTCTTGTTTCTTAGACTCTTCCTCAGCCTTCTTGATGGCAGAGTTTACTTGAGTGATATCGGATGCTGAATTGCTTGACCTTTCTTGAGAGTACGTAAACTGATCAGTAGATTCTTTGGATCCTTTTAGCTGTGACATGTTCCCATCGACTTTATCAGTTGTATTATCTTTTGTTGATACAACTTTATCTTCTTTAAGATGAACTGATTCGGTAACATTTTGTTTAAATTCATTTTTAGCACATCCTTCCTCTGTCGCTTCCGTCAGATTAGAGCTGGCGGATGAAGAAAAACTGTCAGCAGTTGGGTGAGAGGTGGAGGTTGAGCTGTGGGTCTCCGACACACGAGCCTTCGTTCCTGTCACTTTAATGGGAATCGTCGAATATTCTTCCTTTGCTTGGTTTACCTGAAGCAAAATCAATAGAAGTTAGAAATTTGAGAGAAAAAAGACTATATTGAATGTTCACATTATTTATTAATGATTGTCATTATATTTGTTTAGTACTTACAATATATGGAGCAATAATAGTGAGGATGCCATCGGAGGACATGACGGAAGAGATGGCATCAATGTTGGTGGCGTCTGGGAGGGAGAAGCGTCTTGTGAATGTGTGTGAAGAGGGAGCGAAGTCTCTGGCCTTGGTGGCGTCCATGTGGCCCTCCACCACCAGCTGCCTCTCGCCCACCACCTTCACCTTCACCTCCCCGTCCATGAAGTCGTGCACGTCCATCACAATCTGCAACATTTTGCTTATAGTACCCAGAATTTAAATCAGAAATCTTACATATTGAACCTAAAATATCATATTAAGATACATGTAAGCCTATATTTTTCAGAATAAGACGTTGCATATATAAAGTCGCCCTCTCGCTTTCTCACTAGGTATAGAATTTTTAAAGAAGGAAAAATATTTGTCCGTGTTTAAAATAGAGCTTCCCTGATGCATATTGTCATTACTGAACACTGAACACCATGCTCGACCTCACAAAGCATACCTTGTGGCAGGTGTTGTCAGAGGTGACTGTGACCGCCTGGTTGTCCTCATTCAGGTCCAGTGATCGCAACCTTCTGTAGCGCTTCAGGTTGTTGGAGAGTCGCACGTCCGTATCGTCCAGCGCCTCCTTCAGGAAGTCCGTCGTGTCCCACTTCCTGAGCACATCGTTCACAGCGTTCTGGAAGTCTGATCGGGTATCTTCGAAGAAAGAATCGTCAAAGAAATGCCCTTTTCTTTTGATGGTTTCAAAATCTCTCACAGAGAAAGGAATGTCACGGAAATCTGTAGAGGACATAGGTGTTGGTTTCTGCGTCCTGGTCTCAGTGTCTGTCTGCTTCCCTGTCGAGTGCTGGGTGCTGGTCTGCTGGGTGCTGGTCGAGGCACTCCTGCCCGTGGAAGCACCATGCACATGCTCTCTCTGCTCGCTCTCTTTGTTTGTGCTCTCCTTATTTTCCGCGGTGGTACTCGTCTTACCACTTCTAACTTTTTCGGCAGCATTGTGGGATTCACTCTTGTCCTCAGTTGCCGACGCCGCCTGGGAGGTGGTGCTCTGGCTCTCCGCCTCGCTGCTCCGTGTTCCAGTTACCTTGATTGGAATGGTTGAATCGTCTGCTTTTGCTTGATTTGTCTGCCAAACATAAATCATATGAACCTATCTAATTGTAAAGTTCGGAATATTTGTATTCATATTTTCTAATATTTCTTGTAGACTATGTTCTACAGTAAGCAAGTGTTGTTGTAAACTTTATATATTGTAAGGGCTATTCTCTGAATGTTAGTAACAATAAAAGTGCTCTCAAATGCTGTTTAAATTATATAGTGATTTAATGGTAAATGTATTGAAAAGTGAATTAAATAACTGTAATAATTATATTGTTACGTGATGGTTAATGTATAATTCTTAACCACTCTATTCTTTAATGAGACACTTACAGTTTGTGGAGCAGTGATGGTAAGGATGCCGTCTAGCGACATGACGGAAGTGATGGCGTCCATGTTGGTGGCGCCTGGGAGGGAGAAGCGTCTTGTGAATGTGTGTGAGGAGGGAGCGAAGTCTCTGGCCTTGGTGGCGTCCATGTGGCCCTCCACCACCAGCTGCCTCTCGCCCACCACCTTCACCTTCACCTCCCCGTCCATGAAGTCGTGCACGTCCATCACAATCTGCAACATTTTGTATGGTATTGCATATACGTACACTCATATTTACTTTGTTATACAGAATACGTTATATTCCGCACTGTAAATATTTCGATGCAACCACAACACGTTTTTCAGCATGTATATATAAATATTACTCCACCTCCGTGTGGTACCCGGAAGCTGACCTTGTGGCAGTTGTTGTCGGAGGTGATTTTGACGGCCTGACTGTCCTCCTTCAGGTTGTGGGATCGCAACTTTCTGTAGCGGCTGAGGATGTCGGAGTGACGCAGGTCGGAGTCGTCCCAAGCGTCCTTCAAGAGGTCTGGTTCTCCCCACTTGTTCAGGACATCTTTAATGGCGGAATCGAACTCATCGCGTGCTTGGCCGAAGGACGAGTCCTGGAAGAAGCGGCCCTTGCGACTGACGGGAAGGTAGAAGTCCCACAAGTCGTCTGCCGACGACCTGTGTCGAGAGCTGTCGTCATTACTGGATGTGGAGCTGAATTTCTTGGTTGTGTGTGAGCTCTGCTTGTGAATTGATGCCATAATTATATTAACTTAGAAAGATCACCGAGGAAATCTATTATTCTCGTTGTTGACTATCACTGATTAAGCAGCAAGTGGGTGTGGCTGTGTACTGGGTGTAGAAGGCGTGGCAGCGCACTATATACCGAACGTCCGCCCACAGTTATGACGTGTTCGTAGCGTCGCCTGAGTATTTTCGGAACAGCGGCCGTCGCCAAGTGAGGCGCTGATTCAGGAAGTTACTCAGACATTCCTCAGTGGCGGCGTAAATATCTCCATCTGCCTGGGGTGTGTAATTGTCAGACATCAGACGCGCGCCAGAACGTTCCCGCAAGATCGATCAAGTTTCGTCACAAATTACACCCTGATGTGTCTTAAGACGCCATCCCGCCAGACACACGACGTTGCTACAACGTTAGAACAAGTTTTAACACCTAACCAGTTGTAACAACGTTCTAATGCGTCATAAAAACGTTATAACAAGTTGTAACAACTTTATTACAAGTTGTAACAAGCAGAAAATAGGGACAGTTACGTTGTGTGTTTGCAGGGATGTTCTCGTTTCAATTATATTGTCAATTATTGCACATATGATAAGCTCGTTAACTACTAATTATATCTGTAAGTACATCAAATGATCTACTTCAATAATTATACATTATCGCCCGTGTTTTATATGCAGATCATTAAGCCTACACATTATTTGCATCTCATTCAGATACTATATTATTTATCTATTTATTTATTTATTTACTTACTTATATATAAGAAGGTACCTGGGGGTTTGTGAGAGCACATAACATTGGTGTTCTTACACTGATGCAAGGCCACTAACACGAATAGCGTTCCGAGCAGGTCCTTAATCTCACAGATAAGTTTATTAAGAGGTACGTTATAGCAAAATTTGAGTTCAACATAATAACTACAATATAAATTTATGGAAATTATATAGTGGTGAAGTTATATGTCTTACGTACTAATATTGGAAGAGTGGGTAGTACAAGACACAGTGTGAGTTTGAAGTTTGAAAACTACGAGGATGAAATTAGGTACTTTTTGGTTTTACTTTTGATTAAGGAAAATTGAAATTTTGAAAATTGCTGGACAATTTTTTATTCATTAGGGAGTGAGTTCCATAGACCGGGTGTTTTTATTTACATGGAGTGTTTGCACAGATCTAGTTTGATTCTGCGGATATCAAAGATATACTTATTTCTGGTGTGGTGCTCATGGGTTCTATTACACCTATCAAGGAAAAGTTTCAGATCAAGATTTGCATTTAGGATTTTTTTTGTACATATACAAGTACATATATTTTATTCATATTAAATTTTATTGGAAATAAGAATGTCCGTGAGTCATAAAGTTGTTTAATACTAATGAGAAAACAACCTCCCCTTCAAGAAAAATACTAGCTAAGAAAAGGCTCGGAGTGTGTCACAGGGGAGATATGTTTGGCAGGTGTGTTGTGTGGGCGGCGCTCCACCCCACCCTGCTCTGTGTGGGGGGTATACTCTCTCTCTCTCTGTTGTTGTTTTAGATTTAGCGACTGGGAACTAACATTTTCATGTAGCTCGGGCTACGGTGATCCCGTAATTAGGTTCGGTTATTTACGATAACCTTATTACTGTGATATCTGGGTCAAAGTTTTAAATACAAGTAGAGTTTCCTTATTTTCGCACTGGTTTTAGTCTTTTGTCTCAACAACATTAACTTGGTGGCGGTTATTGATACACTATGTTCACTAGTGTGTTCTAGTCTTCCACTGCTTTTTAACCATTGTAGTTAATGCAGCCGCTCTTGTTGGATTAATGTTGAGTTTGATGCGCAGGGCTTCAGTTGCTTCACATTACAGTAAGTACTGTAAAATTGGGGTCTCTGCATCTGTTCTACAGATGTGACACTCTTTAACTATTGGGTTCATTACCTCCCAGCAGCACTTGTAACTAAGTCTGAGTCTGTGTATGGCTACTGCAATGTCTCTGGATATCTTTTTGCCAGGCTTGAAAGAGTAGTTCCCAGTGGCTTGTTTGTACCACATCGCAGTGGCTCTTCCTTCCGCTACTTTGGCTCTGTGGCGACTTTTGATAGTTGGGAGTATTCTTGATTTGCTCCTTAATCTGTTAAAGCTTGGAGGTATTTTTACCTGTACAACAGTTAAAGCAGAAGCAGTTTTTGCTAGTGAGTCTGCTTTTTCATTACCATTTATGCCAGTGTGACTTACTATCCAATTTAGGGTGAGTGACAGCCAAAAGAAGCCTACTTTGTGGGCTTCTTTTTCTATATGTAGGATTTCTGTGATGAGTTTTATAGTATTTCTGTGCTGGCTGGATAACAATGCCTGAAGCGAAGACTTAGAGTCGGTATGAATGATGACATCTTCTAAATTAGTCTAAGTTTGTGGCCTCACTCAAGGCATATAATTATGAGTGCAATGTTGAGCACCCAATGTTCATGGTCCAGTAAGTTTCATGGTTCTTAGTGTAAACTGCTGCTCCGGGGAAATCTCTTTCATGATCAACAGAAAGACCAAGTTATGGGTAGTGGGTTCTGTGGTAATAAAGTCAATAATTTCATCCACTTGTTTATACCCTGTGTTCAGCGTGTAGGGTACTATGTAATTCTATGACAGATTAACTTTAACAACGGTTTCAAGCTCAACAAGCCACAATTTAGGACTGAGAACAGGAGATGCTTCTTCACCCACAGGATTATTAATCCATGGAACCGCATAACTGCCGAAGCCGTAAATGCCTAAAAATATTAACTAATAAAGTACAGCTGGAAACAATCGTCAAGGGGGGGGGGGCACCTTTGACAAACCGCCGCCTTCTTGTCGACGTCGGGGCCACTAGTGTTAGTGGCTTTCAGGTAAATTCAGGTAAAATTTGGAATGCTTTCCTTGGGGCCCGGGCCATGTCCACCGCTTGGAGGGGGAGGGGGGTGTTAGAATATACTTTGTAAGTATACTGTTAGCCCTGTAACACAGTATACTGTTAGCCCTGTAACACAGTATACTGTCAGCCCTGTAACACAGTATACTGTCAGCCCTGTAACACAGTATACTTTCAGCCCTGTAACACAGTATACTGTCAGCCCTGTAACACAGTATACTGTCAGCCCTGTAACACAGTATACTGTCAGCCCTGTAACACGGTATACTGTCAGCCTTATAACACAGTATACTGTCAGCGCTGTAACACAGTATACTGTCAGCCCTGTAACACAGTATACTGTCAGCCCTGTAACACAGTATACTGTCAGCCCTGTAACACAGTATACTGTCAGCCCTGTAACACAGTATACTGTCAGCCCTGTAACACAGTATACTGTCAGCCCTGTAACACAGTATACTGTCAGCCCTGTAACACAGTATACTGTCAGCCCTGTAACACAGTATACTGTCAGCACTGTAACAGTATACTGTCAGTCCTGGTTGATACCTGGTTGATGGGGTTCTGGGAATTCTTCTACTCCCCAAGCCCGGCCCGGGGCCAGACTTGACTAGTGAGAGTTTGGTCCACTAGGCTGGTGCTTGGAGCGGCCCGCAGGCCCACATACCCACCACAGCCTGGTTGGTCCGGCACTCCTTGAAGGAAACAATCTAGTTTCCTCTTGAAGATGTCTACGGTTGTTCCTGTAATATTTCTGATGCTCGCTGGTAGGACGTTGAACAACCGTGGACCTCTGATGTTCATACAGTGTTCTCTGATTGTGCCCATGGCACCTCTGCTCTTCACTGGTTCTATTCTGCATTTTCTTCCATGTCGTTCACTCCAGTATGTTGTTATTTTACTGTGCAGATTTGGGACCTGTCCCTCCAGTATTTTCCATGTGTATATTATTTGGTATCTCTCTCGTCTCCTTTATAGTGAGTACATTTGGAGAGCTTTGAGACGATCCCAATAATTTAGGTGCTTTATCTCGTCTATGCTTGTCGTATATGTTCTCTGTATTCCCTCAATTTCAGCGATCTCTCCTGCTCTGAAGGGGGGGAAGTGAGTACTGAGCAGTACTCAAGACGGGACAACACAGTAGTACACGGTTGAAGAGTACAACCATTGTGATGGGATCTCTGGACTTGAAGGTTCACGTAATCCATCCTATCCTTTTTCTGGCTGACGCAATACTTGTTTGGTTATGCTCCCTAAACGTTAGGTCGTCGGACAACATTATTCCCAAATCCTTGACATGCTGTTTCCCTACTATGGGCAGATTCGATTGTGTTTTGTACCCTGTATTATGTTTAAGATCCTCATTTTTGCCGTATCTGAGTACCTGGAATTTATCACCGTTAAACATCATGTTATTTTCTGCTGCCCAATCGAAAACTTTGTTAATATCTGTTTGTAGTTTATCAATGTCTTTAGCAGAGGTAATTTTCATGCTGATTTTTGTATCATCTGCAAAGGATGACACGAAGCTGTGACTTGTGTTTTTGTCTATATCTGATATGAGAATAAGGAACAGCAGAGGTGCAAGGACTGTACCTTGAGGTACAGAGCTTTTAATTACGCTTGGGCTCGATTTTACTTGATTGACTGTTACTCTTTGTGTTTTGTTCGACAGGAAATTGAGTATCCAGCGTCCTACTTTACCAGTTATACTCATTGACCTCATTTTGTGTGCAATCACTCCATGGTCATATTTGTCGAATGCCTTTGCAAAATCTGTGTATACGACATCTGCATTATGTTTTTCCTCTAATGCCTCTGTGATTTTGTCATTGTGGTCAAGTAGCTGTGAGAGGCATGATCTTCCTGCTCTAAATCCATGTTGGCCTGGATTGTGGAGGTCATTGGTTTCCATGAATCTAGTGACCTGACTCCTGATCACTCTCGCAAATACTTTCATAATGTGGGACGTTAGTGCAACTGGTCTATAATTCTTTGCCAATGCTTTGCTACCACCCTTGTGTAGAGGGGAAATGTCTGCTGCTTTAAGCACATCTGGTATCTCCCCTGTGTCCAAGCTCTTCCTCCACACTATACTGAGTGCCTGTGCTACTGGCACTTTGCATTTCTTTATAAATATTGACTGTATACCTGTAACACAGTATACTGTCAGCCCTGTAACACATTATACTGTCAGCCCTGTAACACGGTATA